AAGGTCACATTCTCTTAGTTGACATATTGATTCTGACATGAGCATGATCTCTTATCAATGTCTTGTATGTGTTCACACACACACACACACACACACACACACACTTGTTCACAGAGCGCTTTCCAGAAACACCCATAGACCATATTTTTACTGGCATTCATATTAATTTACATTTTGAACTCAAAGTGAATGTTAAATTCCTGAGACAATCCTACAACACCTGTACTGTAGATGCAATGCTTCCACTAAAATTTACTACAATTATCAGTGCAAAATTACTGTAGTCTCTCATTCTGTTTGAATTCAGAGACTGAACAGTAAAGATCCCACAAATGTATCTTTGATTTCCACATTTGAAGCTGTTGGTTAGTCTGACTAGGGACTAGGACATAGAGCAAGAAAAAGGAAGTCTCCTTTTTATTAATCGGAAATATGAGGGGTAACTTGTGAATTAATAAATTTACACTTAATGTACAGTGTTTAGTGGAGTAAAACAAGACAAGGATGCTTACTAGAAAAATCAAATGTGCTGCTGACTGGTATGAATTCTAAGTATTTTTCTGATGCAAATATCAGTGTCCTTGTAACTGATTAAATACCCAGTAATGGGTAGTACTAAAATCAAGGAGTGTTGTAGTTCTAATCGGTTCAACTTTAGTCACAGTTGATGAGCATTGAGTATGATAGACAGAAATACCTAAGATTGAATTGCAGGGATGGTTTGTATAGTGCAATGTTTGCTGCAGATGTTACTGCATTATTGCAATTTACCTATTACAGGGATAAGCAGCTTCTTAAATTCAGTTTTATTCCTCCTGTATGACTCACTCTGTATTTTTATATATATAAATGCTGCTCAATTGCTAGTCTGTGCCTTGAGCTCACCAGATTGATGCAGATATACGAGTGCTGAATGAACTAATAATTTTTAATGTGTACAAAGTTGTGATTCAAACCCCAAGGTAAGACCTCTTCCATGGCTTCTGTAATATCATGCACATACATGGACTGTGGGTATTGTCTTTTGTTTGGGAGGTCTTTAACACAGGCAATAATGCAACAATCCGCTAATCTTAAGGATGGTGGTCTCCATCACTTTGAACCACCATTTTAAAAAGAAGACCCAGCCTCTTTCATCTAAATTGTACAAGCTATAACCTCAAACTGCCTTTTTGGGGTGATTATGCCTTCCAGACTTACAGCTTTGATTTGTTTCTGGGCTGCTGAGCTAAGCTTCCTAATCATCTTAAAATACCTTTAACACTAGCCAAATCATTGGGGTAAGCTGCTTATTGTGAATGTTTTAGCTGAATGTTAGTGGGATGCTTTTTCAGTTGCTGTGACTTGCTAAATGTCTTACTGCAAGTGAGCAATTGCTTGGATGTTAGTTTTTTTTTTTTTCCTTGTGTATTTTAAAAGGACTCAGCATTGTCATATGGCTAATCTTCCTTGCCAAGACCAGTATTTGACAGCATAATCCATTTTCTGCACACTGACCTTTAATGAAAATTGCTCTTTAAACTACTTGTAACAAAGATTAAATTTCTTTCTTGCCTAGGAAGATCTTTGAGACTCTTGGGGGAAAAAAATCAGGCCTATGGTGTCTTGCTCATGAGAAATGCACATATTTTTACAATCAAGATGAGTCTTAATCATGTTTGGGATGATTTTACATTTTATAGCAAGATGTACATAACTACCCCACATTTGTTTTTGTAAAATGTAATTTAAATGTGGTGACAGTGTATGGAAACAGTTGTTTGCTGTTGAGCAACAGGATTGTGTTGTCATTTCAAGTACGTGACTCTTTGGCTGAGTAGATTAATTTTAAAAGAATGTGCGAGTAAATTGGTCAAAAGACAGTAGATGGCATACCCTGCATTTTAAGTTGGTGTAAATTTACTCCTGTAGCATGAAGTCCAAACAGCATTGGTTGGGTAGCTCTCATGCTATTGCTTGGGCAGCATAGAGGCCAACAAATGCATTATGTGCCTTCAGGATGCTCTGTCCTGAGCTAACTCTGGTCCATTATGGGGTAGGATGCGTGTGAGGGACAGGTGTCAGGCTGTCCAGCCGTCGTGTTTTAGATCTTCCAGGAAGTCTTTCACCCTGCTTCCAAACAGCATAGCAACATTTAATTTTTTTCACCTACTAATGAACTACTAGGTGAGCTGGAATTATTGAAGACTGTAGATCATGTGACTAATATAAACCCCTGAATGTTGAACCATCAAGGACTACTTACAACTGTTTTGTTTCAGATGACACTAGATTCTGCTTCTCATATACTAATGGAGGTGTTAGTAATCTCTTAACTTCATCCTGAATCCCTGCAGAAGATGGTCTATTTTAAGAGTGATGGGGGGGGAGGGGGAGGGGAGACCTGCTAAATTTCATTTTCTAATTGACAAACCTGATAACGATCAAAATCTCATCTAACTCTCTATGAAGACATAACAGCAAGGTGCTACAGTGAATCTCATTACTAGAACTGTGTATAAGATTACTACCTACAATGTTGCTTGGCATTGAACATACTATGACGGAAAACAGGCCTTCTGTTGGAGTTTACAATCTGATCCTATAAACAGTTAAACATGAATAAAGTTGCCCACTGTGTGTGAGTGGGCCTCAAGTGAGGAGCTTAAGTAAATCTAGTATCCTTGCTACACTATGGGTTAAACTAGTATAAAAAATAAGCATGTCAGAATAATTGAACCTAGTACTTCAGACTAACACGGCTACCCCTCTGATACTTTTTTGTAATGCACTATTGCAGTAATCTGTATTTGATCTTCCAGTCATTAACCTGTGAAATTTTAAAATCTAAAATGTTTTAGACAGGCTGCCTGTCTATTATCAGAATCCAGAATTCTAACTCAGAGGTGGAAGCTAGTGCTACTGAGTAAGGTTAACTATTTTAACTATATTTGAGGTTATTATTTGTTTTACTTTTAATTTTTAAGAATTAAAAATCTGAGTAGAGAAGGGAGGAAGGAAATACTCACCAGTTCAGTACAGATGCTAGCTATCAATGTGTTGTGGGGATGCAAATGAGATACCTGGAGAAGTTGCTGTTGAATAGCATTGTTCCTCAATATTATATATATACCTTTCACCTATTAAGATAAATTGCTTAATAGAACTTACAAGGAAGACAAATCAATGCACGTCTCGGTGTACCTTCACACCCACTGACTTATGGTACTGCATAATTCAGATGTCATATGAGACCCTGAGGATTGTATGAAATAGAAAATGGATTTTAAAGATGTTGAATTTGTATTAAATAGGCATGAGAATCCTAAAATACATCTAAGATTGTTTTAATACCACTTCAAATCAGCATCTTTATTCATGAACAACCTTGTCCTGTTTTCTTCAGTTAGCTTTTATGATTGTATTTGGTATGACAGCTGATTTTTTTTTATTAAACTGTGACACTTTTAGATGTTAAAGGAATAATATAAGATACAGAGGAGCTTCTTCAACCCAGTTCTCTCAGTGTTAATACTGGTTTTGCAAAACCAAAATATGATGGTCTCAGACCCTACCTTAATAGGATGCTGCATTGCATACAATAGAACCACCCACTCCTGCAGTGGTTAATTCCCTCTACCCCCAAGACCATGGATCCTCTTTCTGCTTTTTATTTTTATTTTACTCCCCTTTTCCTCAAAGCCCTTGTGTTGGTGACCTCCATGTCTGGTCTTCACAGGCAGGAGGTTGTTATAGTACCTTGTCAAAAGATGCAGGTCATTCTCCTAGGATCTGCTAGCAACTGAAATATTTATTCATCTCTCAATATGTGCAAATGCAGAATAATCTACCTTTCAGGTTTAGTGAGCCACACTTCAAGTGTAAGTTCCTGCCTATGGGGTATCTTTACTCTGCACACAATGTTTGGCAGAAGCACTGTTGTGTAAAAGAATTTGCATATTTCACTTCCCACATATACAAAAAACCTTGATGGTAATATGTGCCAGGATCTAGTTCAAGAGTTGAAATTAGTAGCTACCGAGGGGGCTGGCTAGCACATGAAGGAATGTGAATGGAAAAAATTGCCAAAACCATTCCTAGCAGCAACACAGTACTGTTTGCACCTTTCCAGTTAAGTTTCAAATACATGAAGTACTCTTATTGGTGTGCTTAAATTTAATAGTGTGGTATTAGAACATCTATAAATAAATGTTTGAGTAGGAAACTGCTGATTCTAAATAAAATTGTGGAGACGCTATACTATAACTTGGTTGGGGGGTGCTGAAGTTAAGCCATTATGACTTGCCCCAAGTGCAATATTAAAAATTTTGATGTAATCTTTTTTCTACTTGAATGGTTTAAGTAAAACGTTTCATCTGATGTATTTGAAAAAGATTTGGGATCAAATTTCCTTTCAATAAAACTTGGTTTAAAAAAAACCCTGCATGTGTATTTTCTGATTTGACTAGCTGGCAAGTAAGGATCTTGAAAGTCCATGTTGTAGAGCTGATTTTTGAAGAACTACCTCCCAACCTGTGGCACAAACCATGTGGCTTCTTCTATTTCCTGCCATTTTCAGGTGATTAACAGTTACCACTTCAACAGATTCCTAGGCTGCAACGTTCTCACCTTTATTCCCTTTTCTAAGGTAGGGTTTATGGACAGGCCTGGCTGTTTCCCATAACCCCCAGTTAATTTCTTTCCACATTCATTTCCCCAATTGCACACAATAGGCCAGATTAATTACATCTTTGAGTGCTACGGTAGCCCAAACCCTTACACAGCTACTTGGATGGCTGGCATAGGTGATTCCTTGGTGGTATAGTAGGACAGGAGCTAAGCACAGCAGTTTTCCAGAGCACTGATCCTGTTTTCTCCCTCATTTGGAGAATGTGGTACAGGTCCGCCTTGTCCTAGTGGGACAGTGCACATGGTGTAGAGTGCACAGAGCTATTTCCCCCTCTCTCCCCCCCTCCCCCCACACACACACCCAGTTCATCTTGCTCAGGTTCATCTGAACTTCCCTCTGCACTGCCCAATCAGAGGCCATTCCTCCCCTCCAGGGGTAGGTCTTCTGGCATTCATGATGCCCCTAGGAAGGGGAAGCTTCTCACCATGATGAGTTCAAACCTGTGAAACCTTCCTGAAAAGCGATCCTGAAACCAGCAGGACACTTTCCTTGCAGTTCCATGTCTTCATCTGCAGAGTATGTGAACTCATGTTAGAGGGAATGTTTATGCTCCCATAGTGTTGTAGGTAGCAGAGTATAAGTCCACTTATGCTGTTTGTATGCTTAAAGTAAGGATGGAAAAACTAAATTTTAAAAATTGCCACAAAGCAGGGGCCAGGTAAAGGCTCTTTATTCAAGTGTTCCTTTGACATTCATTGTCTTCAAAGCTAGATTCATCCACAGCACAGAGCTTAAGCATATCTATTTCCAGAGGATGCATATTGCCTGCTATGATCATGGAATGGAGTGGGCCACCTAGTTCTACTGTGGACATCTGTTGTAAGGTGCCCGAAGCAATTTTCTGATCCACGGCACCCACCCTTGCTAGGCCAACACAGAGTGTGTTCTCCGTAACTTCTACAAAAAAGAAAATGCAATTTCAGGAAATAATTCATCTTTCATTTTCTAGAGAGCAAATTCAATCTCTTTACTGAGCAGTATTTGCTTCACTGAAAGTAATGATTGTACGTTACATTTACAAAAGCATTGAATCTCAAGTTTCCAGTCTCTGATTTTAATCTAACACTTTAAAGCCAGGAGTTTTGTTGCAAAGTGAGATGGAATTCTGTTATTTGAGGAGATAGAGTACTCTAAGCTACATGCTGACAGTAGTTAGAATGGGCTGTGGCAAATACACAATAGAGGGGAGTTAGTTCCCTTCTCCATGTGAGTCCTCCTTTCAGTCAGTGCCAGTAGCAGGATATTGGTCTAGGTGAGAAGACTACCTTATTTCGCACCCCTACTTCCAGACCTCAGCAGAGAGAAGTAAACTACTAAAGGAATAATGGTGGAGATTTGCTCTAAAATGTTGTCTTGTAAATAAAAATCAAACCAAATGTTAATAGAAATACAAGTGAATGAAGGTGGGGTTTGTTTTAGCTCTGCTCTCCGTAATAGTACAAATGTGAAGTAGCTACCTAATATATAGGCATGGTAGAATTTGATTTTTTTATAACTGACATACCAATAGTAGTTTAAGCATTTTCTCCAATTTTTAGCGTTCACAAAATTGTGGGTTTTAAACTTTTTTTATTTATCTATTTAAAATTTTGTGGGGAGTGTCTGACAGTTGATGCCAAGATTCAAAAACTGAAAGCTTTAACTTCACACTGTCAACATATGTCAAAATATACACTGTAAATATTTTTAAATCAAACTACCTTCAAGCAGCATTTTTCTTTATCTGTAAATTGACAATGTAACTGTCAGCTTGTGTGTGTATATGATGAAAAAGACATCTACCAACAAATCTAATTCTTCCAAGCCTACTTATATAAATGGAATTAATCTGAATTTACCCTGGGATAAATAAGAATTTGGCCAATAACTAGTGAAGTGACTTAGGTGTCTATCATATGAAAATCTGGAAGTACAATTGTCTAAGGCATTCATAGTACAGTTAAAGGGAAACTCAATGTTAAAATATTCTAACAGTTCTAAAAACCGGTGTAAATAATCACTCCATTCTGATCCATTCAAACAGCTTCCCCTTGTTTAATCTGATGGACCCAACGGAAAGATGAATGGTAGCACTGGTTCTCAAACTATGGTAACTGTACCAGTTGAACAAGACTAAAGACCTTGACTATACCTCCAGGAATCACTAACTTCCATTCACCAGTGCTCACTGCCTGCAGTATAGCTTGGGCTTTGCCAAATGCATCTTGTGATCAGCTGCCTAGGGTTGAAGGTAGCCCAGTTCCACGTCAGATCAGGAGCTGCTCTAATGAAGAGGAGCAGAGCAGTAGTAGAGACTCCTCAGTAAAGGTAGAGAAAGGGGAAGCCTGGAGTACTAGCACCTGGAAACAACTATTAAACGTGTACCTGGTTCTTCTCCTTGAAGCCTCCTATTTTGAACAATGGCAAGAAGCTGTTCTGCAGCTTGGTTCACACTCATGTACCGTGGTGATTCATAAATCTTCTTTCCTCTGTTAGAAAAAAACTAAAGTAATAACTACCTTGCCAAATAGTATTAAACCACAGAATACTAGGTTATTGTAATTCTCTCATTCCATTATCTCTATGGCACATTTCAGCTTTAACATAACCCATGTGGCTTAAGTATGCTTTGTGGTAGGCCTTGGGGGTTGGGGGTTTAGGGTGAATTTCAGCTCAATTGCAATCCCTGGGCTCCCTGCACACTTGTAAAGCAGCAGGGCATGATCTGGCTGATACTTTGCTATCTTAAGATTCAAGTGAGACTGCTGGAAACTATACAGGGTCTGCACTTTAGAAAAACAAAACTCAAATAATCCAATATATTTTCCCAACAATCATCATGTAGGCAGATAATTACAAAGGAGAAATATATTCAATTATTCTCAAACACATTTCAGCTAATTTGCCAGTTCTGACTACATTCAAGCAAAGTTTATGAATGTGAGTCTAGGCCAAAAGTTACAGCATGTCTCGAAGCAACAGTTTATAGACCCAATTATAAAAAGATGGTTTAGAAATGACAAACTTCTTTGAGACAGCTGAATGACCTTAGTTTAACTAACACTATTAAAAATACTTCTGTTTGGTGTTAAGAGAATGGAATGTCAATACTCCAAATGCAGTTTCTGGCCAGTGCACTGAGATGATTCAGAGCACTGTCTTGTTTTCAGCCGTTCATCTGCTTCAGGGAGAGAGACTATACTGTGCAAGATTGAACAATTATAAGACTTCATTCACTGAACAACCTCTTCTAGAAGGACCTAGTTAAGACAAAATGTTCTGTTTACTGAACACAATACCGAAAATTAGTGTGCAGTTGCTGCAAACTAAGGGCTTGATCCCACTGAAATAAATGGCAAAACTCCCATTTATTGCAGTGAATGCAGGACCATGCCTAAGTGCTTTATTTCATTACGAGCGAGCATCTAAGGAACGGGTGAGTGGAGCATTACTAAGTAGGAGGAAGGATCTTCAATCAGTTTTCATTAGAACATGCTGACAATATATTTATTTTCAAAATAGTGACTCACTTCATCAGGTTTTCCAGAGATTGCTCCTTTACTTTTATGTCTGCAGGATAAAAGTTATATTTATTAGACACAAATAAAGACAGAGGTACTGTAATCTTTTCACTCATCTTAATTGTCTAAATGGGTAAGGGCTTAATTAGTAGTTTAAATTAGCAGGTCTTTTCTGCTTTTCGTATACCAATATTTTAGCTATTGTAGGAACTACAAATGTGGATTTCTAGCAAAGTAATATCCGCTCTATTCTGAGCTTCATATATTAGTTATGAAGAAAAACCCTTGTCCTTTCCTTTTATAAAGATGAAGTTTTACCTGGGATTGCATTACTTCTAGGATTCTAGTGCAAATAAGAACAATGTAAAACAGCCCTTAAAACCGTGCTTAAGTACTACAATGATGGGCACATTTGTCATAGGATTGAAAAATATCAAAATGATACTGTTCTAAAACAATTATATAAGCTTCTGAAAGCCAAATGTATTGCACGCTTCATTCATAGATTCTAGGTTCAGTTGCACCTCAGTAGTTGGAAGGTAAAGCAGCATAACGGAAGGACAGTATTCACTTTAACCACCACACAGGAACCCAATTCATTAGCAGTTCCTTCCTGCTATAATTTCTGGATATGTGTATTTTATATACAGAGCAACTCTGCAATTTTATGGAGTCTCAGGCATCTGCATTATCTCTGACAGGCACTCAAGTTCTACAATATGGAGCAGTGGACATTATATACTCAACAGTAGAATGTTTAGCTTGTACTGACTGTCACAATTTTTGACTTGGTGTTCAAATCTTAAGTGCATTACACTCAAATACATAGACAGGAGACTTACATCACTCATCTTAAATCTGTATTCAATGTGTAAAAAAGCTGTACAAAACCCGTAAAAGTTGGGGTATTTTTACAGTCTTAAAATAGCTGTTCAGAGTTTAGCATCAACTTCTGCCGAGGAAAAGGTTTTTATAACAAGATCTGTGCATAACCTGGCCTTTTAACAAAAAAATGTTGTGGGAACTACAGATACAATTTATCATAAGTTAAAGTTACAGTACTTCCAAATCAGAACCATATTCTAATAGCACTGTTTCTGTATTTTGCTTTTACTCATTCGTGAAATATCCTTTAATGTAATTTGACTAAACAATCAATTAAAATAGACCACAACCAAGTGGTATTAAAGGAACACTTATTTTGAAATTATCAGGTTTCAAATGTGACTTAAAATTAGATTTAAGTCCTATACCTGCCATGAATTCTTCTCCCCCCCACCGAACTTTGTGGTTTTGCAATGCTGCTATGTTAAAATCAACACAAAATGAGAAACCGTGCAAAGCATTAAGTGCTAACAGATGCAGAGTAAGTGAACCAAAAAAAAAGGGGGGGGGGGGAATCTCCCTCCTACTTCCCTTCTTTAAGTTTGTTAACTTGTAATAATAGAACTTTAATTAAAGTTTCTTTAAAGTTACCAAAAATCTGATTTTAACCACCTCTGAAATCATTTCTGTGCATTTGGAAAGTCAGCCAAATGTGCAATGACACTTGTACATTTAAATTGTTTCCAGACTAAGGTTCTTCCAACGCCCACAGAATGCATGTTTTTACTTAAACTATGAATTTGTTAAGCACTGACAGCTCCCTCCTCAGCCCAAGAGACATGGAAATGGTCTTTCTTGAAGTGGTCACAAACCAAGGGCTCGAACCTGCACACTTTTAAGCATGTGTGTAATTTTATGCACACAAACAGGCCCATTGAAGCCAATGGGACTATTTATCATGTTATTAGAGTTATACACAGGCTTATGTGTTTCCAGCATTGGTGTTTAAGATTTGGATTTACAGGAGAGGGGTAAATAAAAAGATCAGACAAAACAATGTGAGCTACTGAGGAGGTTGCTAATTTAAAATCAGTCATCTGTTTTAGATCCTGCTTTACAGTGTTTTTGTATATTACAATGTAACCTTGGCACTCTGTAAATGTCTTCAGACTAATGAATGTTATATTAGAAGATGAAAATCATTTAATCAAATACTACAAATTTGGCTAATAAGACATGCCTCTTCCAAGATGAAGTCTATTAAGGTCTAAACAACTAAAGTAAAATGACACTTGCTAATTACTGCAACCTGATTTGGATCTTGAACAGGAGATACACTTGTCCTTAAACTCATGCTGTATTTTAACAGCATATGCAGATCTCTGATCCTTGTTGAATTCTATTGAAGCACAGGGTTTTATTGATTTCTCTACTCTTTAGAAATCGCAGGCCACAGTGAAACAAGATAGGGCTAGTAAAGCTATTCTAAATTCACATAAGCAATACACAAAGGATGCAATTTTGGGTATATTTTCTTCAATTAAAAACATTTTTCTTCTAAATTTATGACATTTATCACCATAGCCTCTGGATGTTGTACAAGAAAGTGATTACAGAACAAAGACAGATGACCCTTACCAAGTAAGCACAGCGTGTGCATTCCATTCTGCTTGTTCTTCTGAATCTTGTCAAAAAAGCTTTCTGGTTTCCACGTATCCGTCCAGAAAACTACAGAAACTGTTTCTCCAAAGTTGTACAACTTAAAAAAAAAACACACACACACACACAAGCAAAGAAGAAATTACTTAAGTGTGGATTACAAAGAGTTTCTATACATTAAATATTAGGAAATTAAGGTTTGACATAACAAAAAGCTAGGAAGTCTTGAGCGTGTTTAAGGAGGGAGCATCAGCTGGAACTAAGGCACCCTTATATAAAAGGGTATTTTCTAAATGATTTTGTGCACGTGCAGGAAAGAATAAATTAATACCGCCTTTTAAAAAAGGTGTCCTGTTCTCCCCTTGCCGCACTGAAACTCCTTGGAATGGTCTAATGCATTAACAAGACTTTGTTTTTTCTTTGTATCTAAGCCTGGAACAAAGTTTCCCTCTCTGCTACGGAATAGGAGATTTACTACTGTTCTGTCACCCTCCAGGCAGCGATGCACGTTAGAGAATGAGTAGTGAGGCTGCCTCCTAAGGCTTGTATCCAGCTCTTTATTCTGGTCACCATTCTTCATTAACTTTCAATATTCCTTCTACACTTAAAAAGACCCAATCATGTAGTCCTTATTCAGGCAAAATTCCCAGTTAAGTCAAGGTGGACTGGGCCCTTTGGAAAGACTGAAGCAAAACTGTAGGTATCTGGTAGATTATTTCCTAAATCTATAAGGAAGCAGGTAGGCAGCCTCCAATAATGCTGTAGCATCTGCATTCCTGTGTAATGTTTCTACAAGCCTTGGGATAAATTATTCTTGTAATATTTGTATTAAAATAGTGCTCAGAGGATGAGTGTGCTATATATGAAGATGTTGTCCCTGTGCAAAAGAAGTTAGAATCCAATACCATAAGGATCAGAGGACAGGGGCTACAGACAGATATATTTTGTATGCGCGCACACACACTCAATTCTAGAGACAGTGGCAATTTCATTCACTTGTCCCTCAGTCTTGCCATCATATATTGGCTGTCTTCTCACAGTAATGGGGAAGGTGGGCCATGGGAGATATTTGATATAGTTCTGCAGATTAGTTCCAGATGGGCATTGTAAGGGGCAGCATAAAATAGAAATATTTTACTGAGATGTAATTAAATGCAGAATTTGGCCTGCAAATCTATTACTGGTGGTGATGCATACAAAGGAAATAACTCAACTTGGCTTTAAGGTCATAGGTTGAGTTTCAGGGCTGGGAGTTGGAAAACATATTTATGCATCTACACTAAGTTAATTTGATCTGGAAGGCAGCAGAGGCAATAAACACCAAACCCTGATCTGTTTACTGTCTCACCTCAAAAGGTAGAAACACATCTTCAAGACCCTGCCTTAGCCATGCTGTGGTCAGTGCAGGTCTTGGGTGGGACAACAAAGGTGGATTTGCAGCTCCCTTATATGGGGCCTGGTGGGGCCTGGCTCCAGCCCTGGCCACGTCCTCTTTTCTCTCTATCCCATGGCCACACACCCCAACTCCTCCCCTTACTTTAAATCCTACACCGAAGCAAAGGAAGGAGTGCAGTCCCCCCTGTCTGCTAGAAGCAGATGAAAGTCCCTCCTCCTATCCCAGGCTTGGAAGAGCATCTCTTAACTCCCCAACTATTTCTTCTCTGCCACCCTTCCCTGGCTCCTAGCTACAGGCGGCAGACAAGAAAGTTAAATAGATTGAAATTGGGGGGTGTGTGCGCGCAGAGCTCTTTTCAAGCCTGGGACAGGAGGAGGAATTCCCATCTGCTTTTAGCAGAGAAGTGGGAGCTGCACTCTGTCCTCTGCTACCCTTTCTTTAAATCTTACACAAAAGACATTATGGTGGTTCTATGCCATCTGGGGATTTCCCTCTGGCCATTTAAGCCATGAACACAGATCCTTTGCACTGCCAGAGC